ATACGTGTGAGCTGAGTTTGTGAGCATTATATTTAAAACATGCATAAAGATTTTGTCCCTATGAAAGAAGCCGCGTGAAAATTTGTCCTCATTCCGGTCCAATAACAGGCATAGCTATTTTTTCATCATTAATCTGTTTACAGCGTTACTGTAGTCGCCGTTCCCCTTACCTTATGGTATTACGGTATCAGCAATTGCGCAGGTCCGGCAGTTATGCCTGAGGTATAAACTGCTCTACATTTTGGTAACCTCTGAAGTTGAAACTGCTCCACCGAAGAAATGGGAAATGAATGGGTCAGAGCTGAATTTCGGACCTCATGATGAACTCCATTCGAGGATCAGTCTATCATTTTCCGCCACGTAAGTGCCGTTCATTTTTTGCCGCGACTCGTATGTAGTGTTCACAATCCAGAGTTTTTCTTTTTTTTTGTTTTTTTTTAACAATTCTTATAGTATGCTTACTTTGAAATTTTGATCAGCTGCAGTTCATAGCATGTTTCTCCAACTGAAAGCATCTGACAACTTTTCTAGTTGCTTTAACCAGTGCCGCATTACTCGGTGCCAGCTTGCTGAAGATCCTGATATTCGTTATGTTTCTTGCAAAGATTACCGTTAAGTGGTTCTCCGGACAAAAACTTTTGGCAAAATTTTAGCCATTTAGAAATGTCTCTAGTTTATGTACTGAGCATCACTAACTCATCCTGGTCGCCATCACGCTTAAACCGCGATAATTTATCATATCGACAAACAATTCCCATGAGATCTCGTATGCTTGAATGCTAGAAATGCTCCCAGAACACAAGAAAGAATTGGCCAGAAGTATTTCCGTAGCGGTAAAGCTGCTATCGCTGCTAAAGCTTTTGCTGCTACTACTACTACTACTTCTACGTATAGTACTACTGCTTGCCTACAACTTACTGCTTACTAAAATTATTAAATATTAAAAAAATTTAAACGGCTTTGAAAATTTAAGCTTGTTTTTCCAGGAATCTGTTGGATCGTGATGCATTTTCTAAAAGTGATCCGATGTGCGTGGTATTCCTTTCAACAGGTATCTTTATCAGCTTATAAATCTGACAGATCATATCACTCTTTACGAATGTTAGCTCATCTTAACATGAGATCAGGGAAAACTTTCGTTGCTCGTGCAGGAAAATTGATCCTCTTTAGCTTCATCAGATCAGGAAAAATGATGTATGAATTACTGAATAGAAACCTAATAACTTTTTGTAGGACCTCTAAACGATAATAAATTTCGGGAAGTTGGGCGTACTGAAGTGATCCAGAATTCTCTGAATCCGGAATGGAAAGAAACGGTTGAAGTGGATTACTTCTTCGAAGAAACGCAGCGAATTAAATTTGAAATGTTAG